TATTCTGAATTCTGTCAGGCAAAGACTGTATTTTGTTCTTCTTGGGTTTTCCTGTCATTCTTCCATCTCTCCATTTATTCCTCCATCTTGTTCCATAAAGGAATCGAGATGCCCACAAGAATACCTATTTATTGAATATATACATTTTGAATATGTAAGAAATATAGAAATATGTATTCATAATAAAAAGATATGGTTGACATTATATGCCAGACCTGTATGTAGATATTTTTTCTATGTATGTTTGTGTGTATGTGTGTGTATATGCAATTAAATAGAAACCCATAAAAATAAGATCAGGAAAAATATAGATTAACTGGAAAGTCAAAACCAGGGAGAGAGTTAGACTACGTATTCAGACCATAGACTTGTACAAAGTTTGCTATATTAGAACCACAGATTTAGCTCTGAGCTAATGAGCGATCAAAGCAGGAGAAAAAGTACTTACATGGTTCGTGTGGTCCATAAGGAGGATGCCAGATGCTGAGTGCTTTTCCAGGCTATTAGATCTGAAGGAAATTTCTTGCCTGAGTGGCCGTCTACGGGACCCTGAGTGCACGGAAAATATGCGGCACGTGTGGGCTGCTCTCTACTTCTGCTCCCATGGTAGACATCACTAATCAATCACGGCCCTTTCCCACTGAGGCCAGGGAGCGCTTACAGCCCCTCCAGCATGGTGTTCCAGGCAGCCGTCACCAGTGATTGGGAGTCAGCATGCAAGATGAAACCCACCTGCCATTCCTGAGTCGGGGGTGGTGGCGGTATCGGGAGGTCATGATGGATTCTGAGTGGAGAGCCACATTAAGTCGAGCCAAGCATGTCTGCAGGGGTGACATGGGTGGACACGCCCTCTTGTCCATTGGGCATGTCTGGGTTCCAGTTGGAGTGACCCGTCAGAGAGATGAGAGGGGGTGAGTATGCCTAGAGCGACACAGGGGATGCGCTAGGAATTTCTGACTCATTACAGTCACTCATTTTTCCACCGTAAATACTTGCCTGGGAAGTGTGCCCGACCCTCTCTCCTCACCCCCGTGGTCCCAGGTTAACATCACTTCCTCAGAGATGCCTCCCACGACTTCCTCTACTCAAGTGCTCACAGATCACGTCCCTCTGTAGCTTTCTCTCTCAGCCTTTATCATAGCTCGTATGATATATTTATTTATGTTTATTTGTTTAGTGTTTTATCCTCCCTCCAAGATGGGAGTTCCAAGGTGGCAGAGACAGCACTGTCTTGTCATTGTTGTACCCCGTCCCAGCACAGGGTCCAGCACATAGTCAGTGCTTGACACAGGATAGTGGAATGAACGAATGAAAGAATAAAGAGGCGTGAAGACGGAGCAGACTTTGACCAGGGGAAGATAAAGACATGAATGAATACAACATAAGGCGACAAATGCTCAGTGCTGAAGGGAGGGGACAGACGACGAGCTAAGGGACTTCAGGGGAGGAGAGGCTGCTCCAGAGGGAAGGGGAGATCAAGAAAGGGTCATGCTGTAGCTGCATTTGCTGGGTGGAAGGATGAGGTGGAGGGGAGGGATGTCTGGGGCCCTGGAGGCAGCAGGAGCAGAGGCAGAGAGGCGGAGCTGGGGGAGAGAAGCGCCAGAATTATTTTGGGGTGCCCTTAGGCAGTGGTGGGGACCAGGAGCAGCTACACCAGGAAAGGTGGGTCTGAGCCAGCTCCTGGAGCTCTGCCCACCGGGCTTGATTTGGGCAGCATATCTGTGAGTAGAGCAGGGATGGGGTGAGAGGGCCCTCAGGCAGCCCTGGGCAGGCTGAGGAGAGCCGGGGACATCAGGCGGCCTGAATTTGGCCCGAGAGTGTTGGAGACAGTACCCAGGGGGAACACACAACCTGTGCTCCCCAGATTCACTTTGCCTCTCCTGTGCCTGTCGACTCTTTGGGTCCACTCTGGCAGGCTCCCACCCCAGGACCCCTGACCAGCCCCAGCCATGCCCCCCACCACCCCAGCCTGGCCCAGCTCTCCCCGGGGGCTTTGTGCAGCTAGTTCACTGAATAACAGTTGTGAATACATTTCTAATTTTAAAACAATATATATTGGTCACATTTGTAGCAATGTTATCTTGAGCATAGCTTCTTTTAATGTTTTTATTTTCCAGACAGAGATTTATGTTCCTAATTTCCCTCCTCTTGAGCTTTTTAAGGTGTTTTTAGTCACTTATCTAGGGAACTTTTATTTCCTATTTGTATTAATTATCAAATTACTCTATTTCGTGTCTGAGTCATTCGGTTTTTCCCTTTGGCCTCCTTCTTGCAAATCTTCCACGTGGGATTATTAAGTCGTTCTGCACCTGCTTTCGTATTTGCACCCACTGGGTGAGGTTCTGACCACCGAGTGAGGAGATGCAGGCCGGTGGGGTTTGTTGCTCATGACTCCTGGATCATAGGATGAGCTACACACTCCCCGCCTATTCCTGCTGAAGGTCCTCCAGTCAGCGTGCAAGGCTGTTCATTCTAGTTGCTCTAGGCCAGAAGACCAGCCATCCTGGGGTGGTCAGATGTGGGCAGTGGAGCCTGGAAGACAGACCTGGGTCCAGGATGACCTCGGGCAGCTTCGGGCATCCCTGGGGGCATGAACAAGCGGGTCAACTTCCTGTGGTCTGGGTGAATGTCGAGGGAGCAGCTCACTCATGGTGACAGACGGGGAAGCTGCCACACCACCCCGGGGCTGTAGAAGGAGCCCACAGGGGAGGGGCGCCCTCTGGACATGTGGCTGCTGCAGAGGAGCCAAAGTTGGCCTGGGAATGAACGCTGGGGGCTTCACAGGAAAGCGGCTCCCACACTGACTTCTCCAGGCCAGCCAGCTGCTGGCACAGGCCTCTGAAGGGCCAGTCGGGCATGGACCAGGAAGCTCACTTTTGGGGTGTTTCTGTTAAGATGTCAGGCTCATTCCGGTTGGTATGCATGGTGTGTTCCCACTCCTTCCATTCCTGTACCATTGATTGCAAACGACAAAGACCCAACTCAAACTAGCTTAAGGGAAAAACTTGAGAATGAAAATGGCATGGCTGGATCCAGTGACTGACAATGCCATCAGGATTATTTACCTCCATCTCTCAGCTCCACTCGGCTTCTTTCTCAGGTTATTTCCAGGTGGCAGCAAGACGGCCATCAGCCATCCCAAATCAACATTGTTCCCACAGCTTGCTGTCACGGAGAAAGAGTGTATTTCTCATTAACTCTGGTGAGAGCCAGGGGAGGACTCCGTACACTGGGCCTGGGTCACATTCCCAGCCCTGAGCCCCACACTCTGCCTAGGGGTGGGGATATTCTGATTAGTCGGCCCCAGTCACATTCACCATGAGGAAAAGGAAGGAGGGGCCCGTTTCTCCCACCCAGCAGGACTGGGCGTGATTTCCTTGGCCCAGAGGAGGAATCATTCTCAAGGAAAGGCATGCTGGACAGACAAATGTCTGTCCATGATGGAAGGCCAGCAGAGGCCTGGGGCTTCGCTCATGGGCACAGCTGTCTGGGGTCGAGGCAGTTTCCCGGGCACCGGCTGCACAGCAGCGCAGAGCATGCTGTGTTGTGCAGAGTGTGCACACTCAGGCCTCTTCCCATCCCCAGGTCTGGTCCATCCTGGACCTTCCAACCAAGCTGGCCTCACCCGTGCAGCAAACCGCTGGGAGCATGTGGAAACCAGGCTCCGCCACCGTGGTGGTCCCAGGGCTTTGTCCAAGCTCAGCTCCACCCCTGACACCTCTTCTCACAGCTTTTTGGCTCCGGTTCCTGGATCCACAAATCTGCCTGTGATGTCTGCGTTTGGCCCCTGTCCCTGCTGAGGTTTGAGTCTCTCTTTTGGATTCTTGACTCAGCTCAAGGCTCAGCTTGGTTTTGGTGTCACCTGCACTTTGCAGCCTGTGGCCCTGCCAGGGGAAGGACAAAGTGGCCAGGCTGGACCTGGCACAGGCAGCTCCTCTCCTCCATTGCTGCTCCTGAGCTCAGAGCACACGCTCGGCGTGAAGCACCAGCTGGTTCCCAGCACACCTGGCGTTGTGGCAGCTGTTTTCCACAAACTCAGAGACAACTTGTGTCACATTCTCCCATTTGATACAATCAGTATCGCATCGGTGCTTCTCAACATTTTTGGCTACAGAACCTTTTCTTCAAATGAAGTCTTCCCTGAAAGTCCCATAGCTGAGGCCGACAAGAGCTGAGTTGCTCCCCGTTGGGGTGGATCACACCCCTTTTATTCCCCCTCCAATTCCACATCAGCAGCACTGAAGAGGTGCATGACACCTGTAGGGCCCCTTGGAACCCACTTTGAGAACCTCTTTGTGATTCTGTCCATTCGACCCTCTCAGTAGCATCTGCTTTTGTTCCCCATGGGGGATAGGGTGCTGGATGTGGTGTTTTTCTTAACCACCACAATGTTTGTTTCTGTCATTAGCTTGCTTGCGCTGTGCAAAGGACAAGGAGATCCTTGTCATCGTTCTTCTCACTGCAGGCAGGCATCGGGGTGTAATGCTCCCCAGCTACTCAGGTGCTCGTCATTATCCTCGGCCTCCTCCAGCTGCATTTGGGAGGCTGTTCCATCTACAGTGTTGGTCAAGTTATCTGTGCCTCAGTTTACCTTCTTCCTGGGGAACCATACCCAATTAGGTGTCCCACCCCGGCAGGTGAGGCTTCAGAAAGTTATGAGATGCTGACATCTTGTGCATGACCACTACGTGGAATGAATATTTCAGATACCTGTCCATGGAATGTATCCTTTCTAACAAAAAAATCCTTGAAATTCATTAATGTGGGCCAGACTAAAGAAACAACATCCAAAAGAATGCACACGTTCCCAAGGGAGGCCTCCCTCCAATAGGCAGTGTCCTGTGTCTGTCCAGCTTGAGCAGACTGCAGCAGATGGGCTGCGGGCTGGCCTCGGCCAGGCTTCCGTCCGCCCACGAGAATCCAGGCCTGGGTTTGGCTCCAGCTGGGCCTCCCGTCGGCTGCCACTTATTGACTTAAGTCTGGGTGATTCAGATCTTCATCAGGGTCGCCCCTGACAACGGTAGTGGGAGGGAGCGTGACCTCCTCCCGTCTGGGGTGCCAGCAGGGCAGAGCTCAGGCGAGGCCCCCCTTGGTTCCTGGTAGGTGTTTTGGGGTCTCTGGCTCTGAGGGGACAGAAAGATAACTTTGTATTTCCCAGAGCGGGGGGCCCACTTCATCCAGGGGTTTTCCTAGCGCTTCGCCCCCTCCCAGGGAAGGGTGTGTGTCTGTGCTGCGAGAGTGTCTGGTTAATGGTTGACAGGGGACTGGCCTTTCCAGCCTCCCCGGGTCCTGCTGCTTCAGGGGAAGAGGCAGCAGGGGTCAGAGAAGAACGGGAGCCTCCTCGGCACCCCCTGGACGGTTGTCACCCTTCCTGTACCCTGGCCCCAGTGGACAGGGTTGATTGGGGGCCAAGGGGGTGTGTGCTATGCAGAAAGTTGAGCAGCAGATGGGCCAAGGGCCGGGTGGAGCATGAGGCCATGTTAATGCACCTGAGCAACCTGGAACATTCTGTGTGATAAACGTTCTTATCACATGTCATGCTGTGTGTAGGCACTGGAAGAGGGGTGCAGGCTCTGTGCCCCCAAATTCTCACGTTGGGGATCCGCCAGGGCAAGACCAAGACAAGTCCCCAGATAACTGTGTGACAGGGCCAGAGAAACCAAGGGCCACGAGGAGGGAAATAAAGGGCCAAGGCAGCGTTTCTTAGAAGGTGAAGGGATTTTAAGTATGTTCTGTAGTAATATTAAGTATATGATACAGACAAGAATTTAAAACATTTTAATATTATGTATTTATTCACATGTGTATTAGAACTTTGTTTTCTTCAGTTGCCTTGGGGTTTTTTTTTTTTTTTCTGGTAAGGAAGATTGGCCCTGAGCTAACATCTGTTGCCAATCCTCCTCTTTCTGCTTGAGGAAGACTGGCCCTGAGCTAACATCCATGCCAGTCTTCCTCTATTTTGTATGTGGGACGCCGCTGCAGCATGGCTTGATGAGCAGTGCATAGGTCTGCGCCTAGGATCTGAACCCACGAACCCTGGGCCACCAAAGTGGAGCGTGCGAGCTTAACTGCTACACCACTGGGCCAGCCCCCAGTTGCCTTCTGTTTATGGCAAATGATACGGTTTTCTATTTATGGTGGAGATACAAAGTTTCCTTTGACAGTAAATTTAAGTAAAAGAGTGAGTTGACTTAAAGAAAAATATTAAGTAAAGAAGAGTACAGGGTCCATGTGGGGAGGGCAGGCAGCATGGGAATGCCTGAGGTTTGGGAACAATGGGCTAGAGGAATTCAGACAGGAAAGGAAAGGGCTCCTGGAGGGGTTGGGCGGGTAGAGGGGAAATAGGATCCAGGTGCAGATGAGAGAGGGTAAATCTGTACTTACAGGTCCAGGAAAGTGTGTGCAGATCTTGGTATAATCCATTTCGGTTGCAGTGTATGAATTCCCTGTGGAGATGGGAGGGTGAGCTTGGACTATATTGTAGAGGACAATGAATCCCAGGGTGCAGACTCTGAACTTAATTCAGGGGGCAGTGGGAGCCATTGAAGGTGCTTGAGGAAGGGCGTGGTTCATGATTGTCTTTGAAGAGACTCATTTGTAGTGGGTACCAGGACTGGATGCAGGATGACCAGTCAGGACCTAAGAGGGTATTAAGAGGCCATGGCTGAGGACAAGCTGCCCAGCCACCCAGCTGTTCTCCCTCTGTCTCTGGCAGGCAGCCCAGAGACGTTGGAGAGAGGCAGGTCTGGGGTGGATGAGCCACGCCCCGGTCTCTCTGCGGGGAGGCAATGGGAGCCTGGCAGAGGTGCAGGTCAGAGGTTGTGCATGGAGGCCTGGAGGGGAGAGGCCTGCCTCTCCCACCTGAGCCCAGTGGCCTGTTCCTGGTGTCTCTGGCCGAGCATGGAATGTTCTGGGGGAAGTGGGTGGGGTCGGCTGAAGGAAGCTCCTTCTGGTCCTGAGCACCGCATTCCTGCAGGAGGAGGAAGTGCCTGGTTTCCTGCCCTTCAGCTCGCCAGGGCAGCCTGGCGACGTTTCATTCATCAGTAGAGCCTGCCGCGTCTCGGCACAGGTTTTTTTGTTTAACTCTCCCACTTCTTCCTTCTAGTGCAGAGGAGTTCACCAGGAGTTCAGAATCAGGTTTGGTTTAAAAAACAGGAGTTTTTTGGTTTTGGATTTTTTGAAGACCTACTATGTGTCAGGGACCATGTATGGAACTTCTGCTCTGTTATCAGAGTTCACCCTGGACAAAACCTGTTGGAAGGTATTATTCCCTCCATTGTGCAGAAAAAGAAACAGGGTGTGGAGAAAGCTAACTAGTCCCACATTATAGTCGGTTACCTACAGAGCCTGACTCCAGACTCACCTGCTGGTACTGTCTGTAGGAGCGACTGTGGACAAGATACATCACCTGGGAGAAATCATAGCACACTGTCCGTGTTCCCCTGTCTGGGTGTGGGGCTGCACCCTGCAGCGTGCTGGGGCGCATCTGGAAGGTGGGGGTGCTGAGCACCTGACAGTGTTGTGGCGGGGTTTCTGTGAGTTATGAGACGGCTAAGGTGCTATATACGTGTTCGCCGCTGTTACTGCTCTTATGACATCAAACTCGAGTTTGTGTAGTCCTGAACACTGATTTTACTGGAAGACGTTTTGGGGAGGGTATCCCTTAGGGTCGGGGAGAAGCATTGTTTTAATTTTAAAATAATTAATAGGTATGGGATAGAATGGGCAGATCTGACCTTGGAGACATTTTGCCTTTGGGCTGGCTGTTTCTGGCCGCACCGGGATGCCGGGGGATGTGGGGAGGGGTGGGGGGTGCACTCTCCTCTGTTATTAGCCTTACTGTGGTGAAAGCCTGAGAATCAAGCTGCCCTTGTCCCAGGTCTCTTGTCTCACCTCTGCAAGGTTGGTGCCCAGGACCTTAACTAGCCGTTCTCTGAAGAGTTCACTTTCCAGCTCCACAGATTCAGAGAGGCCTCTTCCTTTCCGGCAATTCTACCCAGACGACTCTCTTCCTGGAATGCCTGCCAAGCCCCTGCCTTTTCCTTTCAGCCCTCCACCAGACTCTCTTCCTCTTTGAAGCCGTCTGGGATTGCTGCAGAGAGAAATCCTGACTGCGTCTGCTCTTTGCTCCCCTGTCCTTTGCACAGTCCCAGAATTTATTAGAGTCATTGTCTGCTTCAGTCAGGATTCATCCCGCTCAGGTGCAAACCGCACTGGGTATCAGGGCGAACAAAAGAGGTGGCCCCCCTCCCTGTGGACCTTAGGGAGATTAACAAGTAAACAAAGAAATAAATGCACACGTTCAAACTGTGATACATGCAATGAAGAAAATGAATCCTTTCAGTCTTCTGCCCGAGGCTGTGTCCCCAGCCTGGGCCGTGTGCTGGGGACAGAGCGGATGTTCGTACAATAAAGGCTTGAACAGTCTGCACGTTCCCTCTGGGCGTGATGAGATCAAATCTTGAATCGACATAAGAACGTTTCGGAGGATGTGACACGTTATACAAATGTAATATTAGTAGCGCAAGACTCTTTCTCATCGATGAAGATTAGGGTAGAATTTTTTTCTCTGTAGAAGAAAATTCAAATTTTTTCCCCCATTGTATTGGGGTAATGTTTGACTTTTTTTTTAAGTTTTAGGTTTACAGAAAAAATTGAGTGAAAAGTACAGAGTTCCTACTTACTCCCCTAACCTGCCCAGTTTACCGTTATTAAGGTCTTGCATTGATGTGGTACATTTGTTACAATTGATGAGCCAGTACTGATACATTATTAATAACTGAAGTCCACAGTTTACATTAGGGGTCACGCTTGGTGGTGCACATTCTATGGGTTCTGACAAATGTATAATGACAGGTATCCACCATTATAGTATTGTCCAAAATAATAGTTTCACCGCCCCCAGAGTCCCCTGGGTTCCACCTAGTCATCTTTCCTTCTCTCCCCTGGAATCGGTGATCTTTTTGCTGTCTCCATAATTTTGCCTTTTCCGGGGAGTCGTAGAGTTGGGATCACACAGTAGACGGCCTTTCACGTTGGCGTGTTTCACTTAGCAGTATGTGTTTAAGGTTCCTCCATGTCTTTTCGTGGTTTGATAGCTCATTTTTATTGAATTTTATCCCATTGTTTGGATATGCCACAGTTCGTTTGTCTGTTCATCTGCTGAAGGACATCTTGGTTGCGTCCACGTTTTGGGAATAATGAATAAAGCTGCTGTAAACATTAGCGTGCCAGTTTTCAGTGTGAAAGTAAGTTTTCAGTTCATTTGAGTAGACGCCGAGGAGTGTAATTGCTGGATCCTATGGTAACAGTATGTTTGGTTTTGTAAGATACTGCCTTCCAACGTGGCTGTACCATCTTGCAATGTATGAGAGCTCCTGTTGCTCCACATCCTTGTCAGCGTTTGATGTTGTCAGTGTTCTGGATTTTGGCCGTTCTAATAGGTGTGTAGTGGCATCTCATTGTTATCTTAATTTGTGATTTCTTAGTGACATGATTGAGCATATTTTCATATACTTATTTGCCATCTCTATAGCTTCTTCAGTGAGGCATCTGTTCAGATCTTTTGCTCGTTTTTTAAGTGGGTTGTTTGTTTTCTTTTCTTTTTTTTTAATGAGGAAGATTAGCCCTGAGCTAACGTCTGCCACCAATCCTCCTCTTTTTTTGCTGAGGAAGATTGGCCCCGAGATAACATCTGTGCCCATCTTCTTCTACTTTATGTGTGGGATGCCTATCACAGCATGGCCTGGTAAGCGGTGCGTAGGTCCGCACCTGGGATCTGAAGTGGTGAAACCCTGGGCCGCTGAAGCAGAGCACATGAACTTAACCACTCAGGCACGGGGCCAGCCCCAGTTTTCTTATTTTTGAAAAAGTAGTGTTTCTCCCATTTAGAATCTTATTCCTTGTCTCTGATTTATCTGAAAGGACAGGGAAAAAGGATTTATGTGTGTATGTGGGAATGATTATCATGGGAAAAGGCTCCCAAACACACATAGTTCTGTTTAGCAAAGAGTACGGTTTGGTGTCGAGAAGTTGGGATACCCTTGAGATGAAGAGCTGGAGCTTGGAATTCAAATCCTGGGCTTGGTCAGTTACTAGC